GGGAGCCACATGAGGTACGAATGAAGCTGTCATTGACCCAACAGATGAGACGCTCTGTCCGGCTGTCCCTCTTGCCTTTCCTCCCCTGATGACCCTAACCCCAGCCACCTGCCATAAACTGCAACTCGTCAGGTCTTGGCTACCTCCCAAGCCAGTCTCCCACCCAGCCTCTCTCTGTCCCTGCATACGCTGTGCGGTAGGTCACCGCCTAACCCAGGGCAACCCACGCTGCCAGCCCAGGGTCCAGTCCTGACCCTCTGACTCTAGACCAAATGTGGGAACAGCATGTCTCGGAAGCTCCTATACCTGGAAAGGAGCTTTCTTCTTGACTCCTGAATTTTGAAGAGTCAAGACCCCGGGACCTGCGGCTGTCTTCTTAGTCCTTGAATATCTGAGACATTTTCATGTGTCTTAAGGACTCTTTTTTTTTTTACGTGTCCATGCATAAGCCTATTCAAGTCAAATAAAGGTAAGCAGGAACTGCTGCCTAGAGTTTAATTCGCTTTGACTGAATCAGACTTTTGTTTTAGAAAAAGTAAACGACTTGTTTTGTGGACATTTCCAACTGCTTCTGAAAACCTCGAGTCTGGCGCGGTGCCAGAGCACCAGGGATCAGGATATGTCGGTCGTGTTTTGCTTCTCTGTTCTGGTCTCGGAACTGCCTTCCACCTCCTAAAGCGCATCTTCACCTGGAGCTTAAGGCCCCCTGCCTCACCTCCCTCCCGGCCCTGGATGCTCCAGATCTTTCTCAGACGTCTCACAGAGTTGGCCAATGTGTGGGGCCATATAACACCCTACCATTCATTCATTCATTCATTCATTCATTCATTCATTCACCTAATCCATATAATGGAGTAATTAGTAATGAACCAGCTATTCACCTTTGAGACTATCTCAGCAAAGAAGGTAGTCTTCTCAAAAAAGATACCTGCAATGGTTGTTTATTTTAAAAAATAAGAGAAATGCAAGTCAAAATTCTGGTGACTCTCTTGCTAGGGGGGGCACACATAGGGGCGGTGGGATTTACGGATGACGCTCGGGTGATATCCCAGTGATACTGGGGTGAGGAGGGACAGGGGAGAGCTCCTGCCCTGACACCTCCCCAAACAGGCACCTCTCTTGTCACAATGGGCCTCGTAGAGAAGAAACAAAAGGCAAACAGAAGACCCGACGTTTTCAGGGAAATGGAGTCAGAGAAGGAGTTCTGGTGCATTCTATCTGGCTCCCCCTGTGCCCGGGGACCTGAATGGAAAAACAAGTCACGTTTCCAGAAAAGAATCACCAATATGACACTGATACCTCATGCCTCTGTGTCCGATTAGGAAGCGTTTTTCACGTGGGTCAAGGGGGAGGAGGTAGGCCCGCTAGATGCTCCCGTGCTGTGTGGACTGCCCTGAGCTTTCTGCCCAGCAAGGAAAGAAGCTTCCAAGACAAGGTCTGGGCATTTGTCACCCAGTCACCCACGCAGCTGCGATCCTGAGCTTCCTAAGCCAGGTCGGTTCTCCAGACCTCACTGAGAAGGGGAGACAATCTGCGGAGAGGAAGTGGATCATTCCAATCCACTTCATGAGTCTCAACCCATCCATGTTTGAATCAAGGAACTCCACAATTGGTACACAGCGACAGATTTGAGGGCAAAAAAAAAGTAATAATGCAAAACCGCCAGCTAGAACAGATTTTCCAGTGATTGAAGATGGCAATAATAAGACAAAAGACAGATTTTTGCCTTCAAGAAACTCTCTCTTCGTTGCAGCCAAAGCAACACAAAATTCAAGGCAAACATTCCATTATTTTCCCCCCACTGTTTGGAAATATGGAAAAAGAAAATCTTGCCATGAATTTTTTTTTTTCCTCCTAGTTCTACCAGAAGTGACACTTTTTTTTTTCTCCCTCTCTCTCCAGCGTTAACAAATGACTGGGTATGTTTCTTCTGGTGCTTGGAACGGAGGACAGACCCAGCAAAGAAAAGCGCCTGGATGGGAGACAGTCTGCAGGAAATTGTGAAGCTGCTAAGAAAACAGAGGCCCCCTCAACAGGCTGTCTTCACATTAGTCTTTTTGAATATGATGAAAATATTATCTGCCTTATTGATCACCAGCTCCCTAAATAGAACGGAGCTGTTTATAACAAATGCAACTGGCGATTGCAAATGTGCCAAACACAAAAACACACCACCCTCATATCCCAGCTACATACCCACTGTCAAACACCGGGCAAGGCAGGTGAAACACCACACCTTTTGACCATGTGAAACTTGGGGAATCGCAACAATCTAAAAGCATTACCAGATGCTAAGTGCAAGATGCAGTCTGCTTTGAAATATTGAAATACTGAGTCCCCAAATTAGTTTTTTTTTTTTCCGAGAGAGTTTTTCCTCATTTTTTTTATTTCCCTAAAATATAGATGGTTAAAGTTGAATGGGGACACTGGGGACCATTTGGTCCAATGGGCCCTTTTTATAGCTAGGAAAACTGAGGCCCCAAACAGAGGAAGTGATTTTTCTAAGGTCACATAGGTAACCTAGTAGCACAACTAGGATTAGAACTCAGATATAACTCTAGATTGTTCAACACCCTGGTCAGGTGAGTTAAAAACTGGTTCACAGGACTGTCCTGCTAAACCTCTGCCCTCTGCCCTGGTTTCTAAGACTCTTGCTCTCGGGTACCTGTTGCCTGGCTGGCCCCTGTTTCCTTCGTTTTGTCATCTTCCCCGGTTGCCCTGAAAGAGTCCCACTCTGACATGTGGCTGGTGGCCCTGCTTCACTCACTCCCGCGTGGCTGATGAAGCCCATATCGCTTGGACATTCAAATATCAGCTTTATGTTCCCTTACCTAGAAGACATAGGTGAGTATTTATCTGTTTTCTAAATATACGAATAGGAAAGAACCCTCTAAACCCAAGAGTAATGGAAGAAACCATGAGTGAACAACAGATTTAATTATGAAGATCTATTTCTTTCTTTCTTTATGAAACAGGGTCTTACTCTATTGCCCAGGCTGGAGTGCCGTGGTGTAATCATAACTCCCTATGACCTCAAACTCCTGGTCTGGAGCCATCCTCCCACCTCAGCCTCCCAAGTAACCGAGACTGCAAGCATGTGCCATCATGCCCAGCCAGTTTTTTTTTTTTTTTGTAGAGATGGGGTCTCACTATGTTGCCCAGGCTTGTCTTGAACTCCTGGCCTCAAGCAATATTCCCACTTTGGCCTCCCAAAGTGCTGGGATTATGAGTGAGCTACCATGCCCAACTTAAAGAAAGAATTTAAACAGCTATATATTAAATGGGAAAAAAAACCCAGCATACTTCTTCTATTCCCTTGTTCAGATATGCCTTCCTCCTTGGTACTCAGTCTGTTCAGCCTCTGAATCAATAACTTGGTTTTGAACAGTGGCTCCCCTTTAAGAAATGCCTCTTCCCAGCCCCAGGCACAGTGACCCGTCTACATGGTCACCCTGGCTGACAGGGGCAGGGTACAAACGTACTCTGAATACTTAGAGCAATTAATAATTCTCTAATTGCTTTGCTCGATGTATCTCTCAGTATTTGACTTCACAAGGGCAAAAACTGTGTCTTCTGCTCTTGGCACAGTGCTGGATTTGAAAAATAAATAGTGGACAGAGCAAGAAAATGAAAGTTGTAAGGCCAAAGGAGAGGAAAATAACGTTAAGTATTTGAATTTTTCAAAAGTATAGTTTTACAATCAGCTATCAATTACCAATGCTCATGAACAATTAGCCAAAATAATTTAAAAGATCAAACCAGGAGTGACGCGAAAGCCCAGCCTCTGAGCAGCAGGGCTCTCGCACCCAAGGGTGCCCTTTCCTGACAAAGCGTACATGCATCGATGCATTGCGTGCAGTGAGAAGCTGATCCCTCCTTCCATCCTTCCATCACAACCAGATCCAGGTAACATGGTACTTTCAAGTGGCTGTTCTCACTGCCTCCTACTGTGTCCCACCTTCTCTCGCTCAACTGGAACTGGTTTACATGGCCAGTGGGGAAAGAGCCCTTCAAGGATGGAAGCCCACCCCCCACTGGACTATTAAAGCAGAGGACCTTATGCAGCCATGGCCACAAGGCAGGAAAGCCACTCACATTGACTCCATCTGCCCATGGCACAGCCCCAAGGTGTAAAGCACCCCCCAGCATGGCCAAAGAGGGACAGAAAATCCTTTACTTCTTTACTAAGTTGCCCTTCCACCCCCTCAATAGCCTGTCTTTACCAGCAAGGCTTTTCAGTTGACTTCATGCAATTATCTTCATCCTCTGACCAAGGCGATCCTTTGCCAGTTCCTACGGTATTTGGAATGCAGGCAGTCTTAAGCTATCTTAAGCCATTTATAATTAATGTATAGTCTATAATTGTTTTTCTATGTCCTTTTCTCTCTACACATCTACTTTCTTTCTTGTATTTAAAAATTACATAAAACAAGGCCAGGCGTGGTGGCTGGTACCTGTAATCCTGGCACTCTGGGAGCCCAAGGCCTGAAGATTGCTTGAGATCAGGAGTTCAAGATCAGCCTGAGCAAGAGTGAGACCCTGTCTCTACTAAAAATAGAAAGCCAGGCATGGTGGTGTACACCTGTAGTCCCAGCTACTCGGGAGGCTGAGGCTGGAGAATCACTTGAGCCCAGGAGTTTGAGGTTGCTGTCAGCTAGGCTGATGCCACAGCACTCTAGCCCAAGCAATACAGTAAGACCCTGTCTCAAAAAATGGAAAATAAAAATAACATAAAACAAAACGAATAAAAAGAAAAAAGAAAAGAAACCTTCAAAATATAATAAGATTCTCGGGGAACCAGGCATTCTGCCATGTTTGGTGATTCCCAGGGATCACTAAAATGTGGGTGCTCCCACTAGACAAAGGCTCATATAGTTTCGGCTATTATTAAATTAAAACCTATGAAATGATCATTTTGGTAGAGCAAAAATGGCCGAATATGGAGAATGCCACATGGTTCAATGTCAAATGATAAGCACTCCGTTCAACGCTGGCCTCACTGCGACTCCCCAGGTAAGGGCCTTGTGCGCGTGCTGCAAAAACCTGGTGTCCTGAGCAAGGCCAGCCTGGCAAAGCCATTAGCTTCCAGAAGCAGCCGAGGGGAGTGCGGGGGGCTGATGGTCTGTATCCCGGCCATCCACGCTCAGGAAGAGGACACCTGCGTGTCTGTCCGCTCCCTTCTCCTGCTTGCCCCCTGCAGAGGAAACGTGGCTGCAACGGCCCCCCGCCACAACAATGAGGAGAAATGGATGAGAGGCTGTTTCATCACCTTTTCCTCTGCCCCGATGCTCTGCTGGGGACCGGAGAGCAAGCATCAACTGTGTTTTGGAGGCTGCAGGAGGAAGTCGCTGTCATTAACCCAACGTGGGTCATCGGCTCTGGGGTACAATGGCTGGGGGTGGAAATTTCAGCCGGAAAGGAACAGAAGTTCTTTGACCCAAGAGCTTGTGTCTGGGTCTGCGAGGCCGCTTGTATACATTCGTGTCGCTGTGTCTAGTACAGATAATGGTGGCGCTTTCACCTTGAAAGTCAACACAAAAGGGAGGAAGAGTCTGGAACCGGGTGTTTGCGGGTGTCCTTGCAGCCCCAGAGTGGAGTCCAATTTTATTATAATAAACAGGAAATTCTTCTTTGCACAGCTTAAGATGGGAAATAAAGAAGTATTGTTCTGGAATGGCTCTTTTTCCTTCTCCTGTTTGATGCTGCTCATGTTTCACCCCACTCCCCACCCCCCACCCCCCAGGGCCAGGAGGGCCAAGATTTTTTTTTTTTTCCCCAACAAAATCTAGCTCCAGGCCACTTTTCCAAGCAGAATGGGCTTCACTTTGAGATCTTCTCCACCCTCTACTGCCTTCCTGTGCCGGCACTTTCTCTGCCTTCTGGCCTCTGGCTCTGCCTGGCCCTTTCCACCAGGACTAGTGGGTCCCACTTAGCCGACCACACCAAATAGTCCAAGCCTTCCTGAGATGAAATGTGCATCTGTGTATACACAGTACGGAGACACAGCAGCCAGCACGGGGCCTGCTATATGAGTGCTAACTAACGGTGTTGTAGGAGGTGATTCATCAGTGGATTTTGTTATCGTTATGAAGATCGGGGTGGTACAAATCATCACTACTTGAGGTCCTGATTAAAAGTCAATTCCAAGTTATCAGAGGAGAAATTATACGAGTTCCTTACCTGGGCTCTCTAGAGCACTGTTGTCAAATAGAAATAAAATGGGAGCCACACACGAAGTGGTAATTTTTCTCGTACTGTAATCACATTTTTTTTTTAAAAAGCGAAAAGGTGAAATTTATTTTAACGATGCATCTTATTTTACCCATGCATCCCAAACATTATCACTTCCACATGTAATCAACATGAAATTCTTAACGAGATATTTTACCACTTTCCGTGCTAAATCTTTGAAATCCGGTGCGTATTTTACACACACCCCACATCTCAGGTTGGATACTAAGTTTTCAAGGGTTGAAGTCAAATGTGAATCCCGCCGAAACGGTAAAGTATTTTTTATAATGAGAAAATAATCATCACGGCTTCAATTTTTAAATTTAAATTTAATTTAAATTAGATTTAAAATTCAGTTCCTCAGTCACACTGGCCACATCTCAAGAGCTCAATAGCCACAGGGGCTGGTGTGGGTGTGCGAGTCAACTGCCAGCCAACTTCCTCCACTTGCCTTCTGCCATGGGTCTTTGCTCGTACCTTTGCCTTTTCTTTGTTTGTTTTTTGAGACAGAGTCTTGCTCTGTCGCCCAGTCTAGAGTGCAGTGACATCATTGTAGCTCACTGCAATTTCAAACTCCTGGACCCAAGCAATCCTCCTGCCTTAGCCTCCCAAGTAGCTGGGGATTACAGGTGCATGCCACTCTGCCTGGCTAATTTTTCAATCTTTTGTAGAGACTAGTTCTTGCTGTCGCTCGGGCTGGCCTTGAACTCCTGGCCTCGAACTCCTGGCCTCAAACAATCCTTTTGCCTGGCCTCTGAAAGTGCTGTATTATAGGCGTGAGCCACCGTGCCCAGCCATACCTTTCTCTTTAGCAGGAATGTCCTCTCCTCCTTTGTCAGGGTCCTTCCCTTGCCTCCTTTAACTACAAACTCACCTTCCCCCTGAATACCTTTAGGCAGCTCTCCCCTTAGGACCTTCCAACCTGGTTGCCCACGGCTCTGTTATATGCAATCTGAAATACCTTGTATGTGCATTTGCTAAGCATGTGTGTGTTGAGGGGGGGGTCCTATTTTCCTGCCTTGATTATAACACCTTTCAGGGCAGCACTCTTGACTTCGTGAACCATTTCCCCCTCACCTGGACTGTTGCAGTAGCCTCCTAACCAGTCTCCATGCCTCCTCCCCAACCCCCTTGCAAATCCAGCCTCCCCACACAGCAGCCAGTGACCTTATTTAAACAAGAATCAGATTATCTCTCTCCCCAGCTTTCCAGTGACTTGCCATTTTTCTTAAATTGAAATTCAGACTTCTCACCTGGCCTGTCAAGTTTTCCTGGGTGAGCCCTGCCTGCCTCTCTGACTCCATCACCTCCCACCTCACTGTGCCAGCCACACCAGGCTCGAGATGCTCTTGGAGCATCTCAAGTCCATGCCCACCTCAGCACCTGTGCCCTTGTTGACCGCTCTGTCTGTGATGCTCAGCCCCACCCAATCATGGCTTGGTTGGTTTCTTATCCTATGTGAAGCCTAATCTCCCAATCTCAAGTCTCTAGAGAGACTCGGCAGGTCATGCATGAATAAGGTACAATAGGGGAGGATGGGGACTGTGGCCAGCTGGAGATGACCTGCTCCCCTTTGAAGGGCAAAACTACCCAGCTCAAGTCATTGCTGCCTCATAAGAATATGGAACTAGTGTCACCCAAACCTCTGATTTTTCAAAAAAAAAAAGCTAGACATTCAAACATTTTATAAAATTTTCTAATGATTAAAACCATCCAGACAAAATAAAATAAGACTTCTGGCTATGTTTAGCCCACCAGTCTTCAACTCTGATTTTTAATGCCTTCAGTTTAATTTCTATTTCTTCCTCCACTTCAATTGAACTTTTGACCAAAAAAACACATGACACTCCTCATTATCTCTTTTTTTCTTTTTCAGATTCCTCTTTTATTGTTCCCTTCAACCTAGTAACTCAGAAGTCATCAGGGCTTCTGAGTACCAAATCCGATGGCTTTTTATTTCAATCTTCATCTTCTTTGATTGTTTTATACCGTGGGAATGCGTCGTGTGGTGGGTGGCGAAATGTACGGCCCAGATCCCCTTTGGGAGTGAAGCTCTTACACCCCTAAAGCTGCTAGGAGTGTTGCCTGCAGACAGCCCTTAGTTCTTAACTCCCTTGGGGGATTGTCTAAGCTGAAGACAGCCACATTGCACCAGTTTCTCTTGTCTATCCCCAGGAAATATAATCATGGGTGATATGTATGGCAAATGTTCTTCTCAAGTCAAGAAGGTACTAGAAGTTTCTTTAATTGCTCACCAAAATTTACATTTTCTAATGTCATCCTCTCCCCTGCATTGCTGGTCTGCACACACACACACACACACACACACACACACACACACACACACTACTCTTATCACAAGGATAAGACAAAAACGCCTACCCACAAAATATACGTGAATTCCATCTTACTGCCCATCTTTTAGCACATAGCCTGATAAACTCTAGCCTCTGGGTGGCAGGGCCAATTCCCATTTTTCAGTTCTCAATTATTCTCTGATCCCATATGATCAACAGATCATGGAAAGCTAATGGGTGGTGTGATGTAACAAAACACAACTATCTGGGAGCAAAGAGACTGAGTTTTAGGTATGCTTATGCCACTGATTAGCTATCTTTAAGAAAGTTCTCTGTTTCTCTATTTATAAAAGTAGGATAAGAGTCCTTGACCAACTAACCCTCCTCCCAGGTCTATCAACAAGTTAAACTATACATGGTAGTTAAAGGAAATGGAGATGCATCCATAAAGGCAAATTTCCCTTTGAGTTTTGCTGCCCTAAAGAAACACCTAGATTTAAGCAAGTGCAGGAAAGCCCAGTTCAGGGGTCCTAGGCCTCCTCAGAGCCCACGGATGACTCTGGTCTATGTTCTCTGGTCAAGACTCATGATTCCCCAGGGAAGGAGGTTTCTGGAGCAGTTGAACTTCTACTGAGGCCTCCCATGGCCTCCCTCTTCTGTTGTAAGAGGCCAAGCTAGGGCTGCTCTTCTAGCAGTTTCTTCCCTGTGTTCCTGAGAGATCTGTAAGAAAGCTGTCTGCCTCCAAATTTGCCTCCCCTTCTGTTGACTTTTGGGAGCCTACTCTGACACAATCACTATTACAAGGCCCATGTGTATCTTCCAACATGGGAGCTAGTGGAGATGACCACCCACCATGCTGACCCCTACCCCAAGCCAAGCCTAACATACCTCCTGCAGAGGGACCTGCCCTTTACACCATTTCCACTGGGGGAAAGAGACCTGCACAGTGTCAGTGGCTAGAGCCCAGGAGATGCTGCTTTGGGTAGCAGGCATGTAGGAGATGTCACCATCTGCCATGGTCTGAATGTTGGTGTCCCCCCCAAATACGTTGTAACCTAATACCCAATGTGATACTATAAAGAGGTGGAAATGTTAGGGGTGATGAGGTCATAAGGACTCCACCCTCATGAATGGGATTGGTGCCCTTATAAAAGAGCCATGAGAGAGCTCTCTGACCCTTCTGCCATGTGAAGATGCATAGATGGTGCCTCCAGAACTGTGAGCATTAAATTTCTGTTGTTCATAAACCCAGTCTACAGTGTGTTGTTATAGCAGCAGGAATGGACTAAGACATCACCAGGATGGCAGAGGATTTCCCTTCTTAAAATTTGGCTGAGTTGAGGGTAAGATGGGAATGCTTAAAGGGACTTGCAGGAATTAGCTAGCCTGGACCTCTGCCTTCTTGCAGGAGGATATCTAACCCCTTATCAATGGACATTTAATATTTTCTGCATGATCTTCAGGGATACAATCTTCTCACACTCCCTGTGTCTCCTTATTCCAATGTTTGAATGTCTTAAAAATCAGAAAGTTATACTGTATAGCCAATCAAAGTCTCAGCTGCTTTACCTTAAATCCATTTCATTCATTCATTTTTTATTTATCTAAC